CGTCCCAGGCCTGAGAGGACAAACGGAGCCGGCAGGTGATCCTGCGCCGTAACATAGCCGGCGGCAGCGCGCATCCGCAGGACGTCCTGCATCTCGGCATCCGCCTGCCAAAACACAGTTCGGATGCTCTTGCCTCACTTGTAGGCGACCGCGGTCAGCGCGGGTTGGCAGCGATGTCTCCGATGAGCTTCAAGAACTGCGCCATCCGAGATCCAACACCGAAGACCCAAACCTCATTTGCCTAGTTAGTAAGTATGTGCCAGCGAACTCGCAAACATGGGAGGATGCACGAAACTACCAACTCTCTCCTGCGCAGGCCCACGCAGGCCATGGTGGCACCCAGTCTGGCAGAAGTTTAACTCAGGATGTCTACAGAGATGTGCTGCATTTGCAAGGTGTGCCCATAACTACGACTACCGCTCCAGAATGGAGTCTAATCCTACAAGTAGTTTTGACTTGGTGCCAGCCGGGGGTTCAGAGCTTATTGTGCGAGACAGTTGCTGTGTCCCAGCTGTATCTTCGAGCCGACATGTGCTGCATAGCATGGTGCAAATATCGCACGTGAATACCTGAAGAATCGGAAGAGACCCGATACGGTAAACAACGGAACTCATGTGGACGCAGGCTTCTGCAAAGCACATGCTGCATATATGCAACCGCAGAAACATCCCCAGCACAACTACCAAGCAATTATTTTGTCGAAAGCTGCCTGCACGGGTATCCTACTCTCGCCTTGCCCTCATGCCGGACTCAAGCCGATATCGAGCGAGATAGCACGTCGGGATTAAACCTCGTGACCCCGGGTAGAGAGTGAACCAGGGGAGAGAAGGAGAGCGGGGAGGGGGAGGCGGGGAGCGGGGAGGAGGGAGGGGCGCGAAGGGGCCTTTAAATACTCGTTTAGGGACCTGATTCTGTAATGGTAGTATATATGGAGCCTCTGGGGTAAGCATTATTCGTAGAGAGATTCTAGCTTCCATATTGGCAACCCCCTGTTTTGACAGAGGCAAAGTCCGTAAGCACTCAAGGCCTAATGAGGCTATGTATGATACCTCTGCCATCAGTAGGGGCCTTCTAGAATCCTGAAAAAGGAACCCTCTATAGAAACTTCTAAGTAGTTCTCTAAAGTAGGGCCCATTTCTTCAGTCCCCACTAGAGTACGGCACCCTTACAATCAGGACCCAAACCCTAAACACCTAAACCCTAAACCACTAAAGGCTAAGGGGTCTTGGAGTCCTTGGGATTCTTCCTCGGCGAGCTCGGCGATTTCGGCTTCGGCTTCGGCGGCAACGGACCGAGCCTGTGTCCACGCGAAGCCGCACCGACCCCACCTGACGGCTCAAGGGTCCTAGGGTTTAGGGGCTAGGGTTTAGGGTCTAGGGGCTAGGGCTTGGGGTTTAGGGTATAGGGTTTAAGGTTTAGGGGTTAAGGATTAGGGTTTAGGGTTTGGGGTTTAGGGATTTACCCAGAGGCTGCATATATACTATCATTAAGGAATTAACTCCCTAAAGCCATACTAAGTATGGTCTTTCGGGATTTAATTCCACATTGGTAGTATTTATGGAGCCTCTAGGTTGGGGACCTGAATAAATACAGTCATAGTATTTCGTAGGGTTTCTCAATACAATAAATGATACAGATCCTGCATTATCCATAAAAAGGATTATGCCATAATTCCCATAGTTTAGGATCCTTAAGGTAATGTAGGATTTATATCATCAACCTTGGCTGACTTCTGAACCCTCCTAAAAGTTCAACCTCCTAAAAGTTAAACCTTTAGCCTACTTATTATAGCTCATATAGAAACCCAAAAAGTTAGTGTCCTAAGAGTCAACCAGAAGAACGCCAAGCAATAGAATATAGAAAAAAGGCATCCCAAACCCTTTAGGGCTTAGGGTTTTGGGTTGAGGGCTTTAGGTTTTAGAGTGTGGGGTGCAGTTTAAGTTAGGGTTTAGAGGTTTATGGACCTCCCTGCTTAAGGGGGTGTCCATGAAATTTAGGCGCTTCGACAATTAGAAAAGAACTGCCTCAGCGTTCCGTGACATAAGTATATGTATTGACAATACACCCCAAACCCCGAGTCTCATAATAAAGGGCATTAAACGAACACAGTCGCAGAAGGATCCCTTTCAGGAATCTGCTTAGGGGCTCCTCTCTAAAAAGATCCCGCTTTTCAGGTTTAGGGTCCAGGGTTGGGGCTTTTCATGTACGCGTTCGGTATGCTTTAGGATCCCTCGTAGAATCTAAGAAACAACGGGGTAGGTACGTAAGGGTACTATCCTCAACCCCTACTATCCTAAACCCAAGTTCGACCCCAAGAGTCAAGCGCTCCTTTCTCATTTTGCTTGAGATCCATACTATCCAGGGCTTTGGGTTTAGGGTTTAGGGTTTCTAAGGATATCAAAAGCTGTCATTTCAAGAAAACGCCCGTAGCTTAGCATGCCTCGTCAACAGGCCCTTAAACGAAGCTTCCACAGAACGAAATTGATGCCCGTAGACACAAGCACACAAAGTAGTAGGCTCTAGCCTCATAGGAATTTTCCGAAAATACGGGGGTACCTTATTTTGGGGTCCTTATAATGGGGATCCTACTATTTAAGGTACTATATTAGGGCCCCCTACTTTCGGAAACCCCCCTCATAACACTGTAGCTCCACAGGGTCTGCGCTTGGGGCTTGGCGGGCGGGGTACTACCATGACCCTAGAAGTAGTTGGTTGTTCGACCTATGTCTTGCTCGTAGACAAACGAAAGTGTCATCTTGCTATAGCACCCCATGAAGCCCCTTAAAGACACTGCTATACCCTACAAACCCTAAACCCCAGTAGACCCCAAATCCTGAAGTCTAAACCCCTAAACCCCTTTTTTGAACCCAGACTCTGCTGATCAGCTGGGAAATGCTGGGAAGCAGCACTGCGTGATTTCACACAATACTGCCCCAAACCCTCAACCCCAAACCCTCAACCCCGGAACCCTGAACCCTATAATAATGCGGTTGATGCTATAAATCCTGCAATACCCAAATGCAGGATGTATATCATCAACAGTACCCCAGAGGGTCCGAGTACCCAAATAGCAGGGTTTCAAGGTCCAATAACCATTCAGAGTATGGATTTTGCAACCTAAAACCTTACTATTTGGGTACTCGAACCCTCCGTGTACTACTATCTACCCTTTTACAGCAGGCCTCGTACACAGCCCTACTATCTACCCTAAATCCTAAACGCTATAATCTTAAGATCCTCACCGGATGTTCAATATGATTCTGTGATTCCAATAACAGGCTCGCGGAAATTGTAGGGCCTGAGGCATCCAACAATCATGGCAGAGACTATAATTGTATACCATTATGCTATATACTTTAATCGTGTATATTATTATGCTATATACTCGAATAGTATACTATTATAGTATATACTGCTATTATGATAGCATACTATCATCGTATGCTGCTTCCTGGGAAAACATACAGGGCGGGCCAAGTCCCATCTTCAAGAACAAGACGCAATCTGGCATGCAGAAGCCGACCACTACTTTTCTGGGTTCTTCTTCAGGGATTCAATGTAAGTTACTATGTTCTGTACACTGTACATGTGCATGGTGGGGTCGGGGTGCCTTTTGAGGTGGTCCCCAAGCGGGGCTAGCCACTCTTAGGCCACCGTGTCGGTGAGGCCGTTGCCAGACTCTACGCGTAGATAGTTGGATTCGTCGGACTTCGCTACGCAAGAGGCCCGTGAAGTGAAGAAGAAGTTCTGTACACTGTACATGTGCAAGGTTGGCAAGCCATTGGAAGTCTTCGGTTTCCCGTAGCAGTTGAACCCTGCTTTGGGCAGCATTAAGACCTTTCCAAGGACCAGGTGCATTCTTGCAGTAGTAATGGCAATAGCAAAAATAGTATTCACGATTCTAATAACAGTAATAACAGTAGCAACAGTATTAGTACGAACACTGGTGTACTACATTGCACTTACGTTACTAGAACACTATAGACATGTGTTAGACTACGTAACATGGTACAGTCTACTATATGCCTTTCAGGCACACGGCTCAGGCTCGGGTCCAGAGAAACGCACTTGCTGCACTTGGCCTTGCTTTACGAAGCCTATTCTTGCGTAGAGGCGCTCGGCACCATGCGATCCCCTTGCATTCGCGGTGATGCACGTTCTCAGGCCTGAAGTCGATGCCGTTTTAAGGTTTAGGGTTTAGGGGTTTAGGGCTTAGGGTTTATCTAGAGTTGGATACAAGAGATGCAACCAATGCAGGACGTAGCATAGCAAAGCATGGCATAGCAGTGCATCGATAGACTACCGCGGTGAGTACTCAAGGTCTGCTTATCCCGCCTTGCTTGGTGAGGGCAGCCCCGATCTTTGTGATCAACGCCGCGGCGTAGCCCCGCCTTCGGTGCGGTGGCGATGTGTACACCATCGTGATCCCACGCCCAACATCTGCCAGAGCTCTAGCAGCAGCCGAGATGGCAGCAATGTCAGTGCCCACTTGCCACACATAAACTTCGCATGTGGCAACTAAATCCTCGATGGTCTGTCGGTGCGATTCCCGCGTTTCATTAGGGTCAGAAATTCCGGAATCCTGTTTGAAGGCCACATAGTAGTCCGTGAGCTTTTCTACCACTGCCTCGTCCGCAAGAAGCACTTCGTTGCAGAGGCCGGCGGGAACAGCTTGAAAAGGCGCTTCCTGGGGTGGGGTTTCGGGTTTAGGGTTTAACGTTTGGGAAGTTTCGCAAGATAGCTTCTTGTAGGCGAGGTTCAGGAAAGGAGGTCTACCGAAGGGAAATACTGCTAAACCCTACAAACCCTAAACCCGAAAAAAAACCCTAAACCCCACAAACCCAAAACCCTTCACTGGGGTTACTCAACCGAAAAGTTTACGCGCCTTGACAGGCAGCACACGAAGCATTTGCCCAGCTGGGGGGTCTCCGACTTCAGGATAAGGGGACAAAAGCTCCATGCACGTCACGACCAGTTCGAGATTCCAGGAAATGGCCTTCGCCGTAACTTTGCCGAAAAAGAAAATTTGGTAAACAGGGAAGGCAGAAGAAAAGCTGCGGTGCTCTAAGCCCCAAGTGGCCGGGCGCAGCTTCTGCAGAGCCCGCGCCGCCTCCTCGATCACTTCTTGAGGGCCATAGGCTGTCGTGATCATCCTCGCCAACTTGCGCATGCGAGGGGAGGGGTCCAATCTCTCGGGGTTAGGCTCAAAGGCTTAAGATTTTCTTCGGAGGTCTCGTGTAGGTATACGGCGGGGTTTGAAACAAACCTTTAACACCACTTGAAATACTTTGGAAAAACTGACACCCTTAACCCTAAGCTCCTTAAATCCTAACCCTAAGGCACTACCTGTGACCCCAAACCCTACAAAATAGTAGGTTATGACCCCTTAATTAGAGGGTAGAACCCATAAAACGGTAGGATTTTGGATCCCCAGGTAAACCCTAAACCCCAAGGTTGCTCTTGTTCTCCGCAGCTTCCTCGTCAGCTCAGGGTGGACCATGGAGAGAGCTTCGGCCACCCAAGCTTCCTCCAAGGCCAACTTAAAGGATCATGGGAGGGCCCGGGGTTTAGGGTTTAGGCCTCTACTTAAAGGATCATGGGACGTGGTAACTAGGGTTATAAAGAAGGTAACTCTACTTATAACTACTCATAAACCCCAATTCAGGTACTTACAACCTTACTTACTCAGTCCCATGATCCTCCAAGAGGAAAACGGGATGCTTCCTGGGGAAGGTTTCGACATTTCGGCGGCCTAAACTGGGTTCTCGTTATACCAGATTTAATTTAAGTTACTATAGTAAGGAAACTATATTACTTACTGTAGATCCCCATTATGGTAACTTACATTAAGTTCCTTAACAAAGACCCCCCTAAACATCCCTAAACCCTAAACCTTAAAACCCTAAACCCTAAAACCCCAAAGGCTAAAACCCTAAACCCCTAAACATCCCTAAATCTAAAGCCTAAAACCCTAAAACCCTAAAATCCCAAAACCGTAAAACCCTAAAAACCCTTCCTTGACCTCCCCAGCCATCATAAGGTAGAGTTCAGGGCGAGGCGGCCAAGGCGAAAGCACCAGGACCCCCCGGGCCCGCGGGCCGTGGAAGCTGAAGAGTTGCTTCACCTGGGCTTCCGAGGCTTTCCTAGAGAATATACTAACTATTACTAGGGTTTGGGGCATAAGGATATAGGGTTTAGGGTATAGGGCTTGTAGGGTTTAGGGTTTAGGGAGGCTCCACATATACTACTATTATGGAATTAGGCCTGTAAATACCGTGATAAAGGTGATCTTTTGGGACCTAATTCCATAATGGCAGTCCATTTGGAGCCTCTGAAAAGTTGGGAGGTTTCAGGGTGTAGGGTTTTAGGGTTGGTTGGTTTCCCTAAACCCTAAACCCTAAAACCCTAAAACCTAAAACCCTTCCTTTAAGGGTTTTGGGTTTCCTTAAACCCTAAACCCTGGCAGGGCTTCAGGTTGAAGGCTTAGGGTGTGGTGCGAGCTGCCACGCTCTGACAGCCTCTTGGGATTTTGGTTTAGGATTTAGGGTTTAGGGTCTTGGGATGGGTTTAGGGTCTTGGGATTTAGGGTTTAGGGTGGGTGGATTTTTTTGTTCGGGCTTTTGTTTTGGGTTTTTTTTTTTTTTGTGTTTTGGTGGTTTTTGCTAGGGA